CAGTGTTGTACATGGTGGAGTCTGACTTTCTTTCATGTGGGATCATATTCAGGAAGTGGATGTCTTAAAGTAGGTACTGTATGTTAGAAACGATCCTAGCACAAGAGGGGTGAGTTGCACACTTGGACACACATGCATCAGAAGCACAAGGACACACAGACAGAGTTACTTGAAATTTTAAGATCTGCGTTTCACAGCCATATTGATTTTTGATGAATTCCACACATAATTTGGTTTGGGTCTGTGGTTCTGTGTTGATGTAGCTGTATCTCTGACTCTTGTATCGATTTCCCGATAAGTATCAGTTCAACTTTGCACCTCTGGCAGCTACACCGATCGTACCAAAGCCTAAAGATAGGATACCAACACATATAGTATAAAATGCACTTTTCAGTGCCTTGAATTGTAGCCTTTGCTCATAAGTTACAGAGACGTTTGAGGGTCACATTCATGCTTCAGCATTTAAAATTACTTAATTACATATCTATTACATAATTCCGTTATTACATAGCACATTTCTCAATACAATTGCTCCATATCAGGTTCTTTCAGCACCATTCTTACTCCTTGTGAAAAGAATGATATAACTGCTCCCACTTTGCTGAGTGTCCAGTTCACACATCAATGCAGAGCAGAATTCCATTGAGCCTCAGTAGATGGGAAACCGCATGCCTCCTGCTGTATTATTTGATTTGGTCACACATGCTTTTCAACTGGAATTAATCTAAAACGGACAATCTGACACTTTCCAAAAATGGCGTTACTTTTAACAGCGTGGTAGGCCACTGTTAATCTGCAAGTTAACTCAAATGTCAAAAGCTTTAAACTGTTATATCTCCCTCCTTTGTAATGTCAGAATTTTTAAATCAGAAAAATGGATGCTTTGTCAACACGATTATGTTGTAATTGATCACACCATTTTCTCCTACCTCAAACAGCAACTTTCATAATTATTTTTGTTCTCTCTAGGTTCTTGCTCTGGCAGTTGCTCCTTTCAAAGTCTGTTAGTCTAATGTAAACACTATTTGTTTGGCATTTTGCAAAAATACCAGGCAGTCAACCTCACTAATAAGCCCTCATTAGGCCGGCCCCTAACTAGTGTGAATTCCTGCTGAGAATGCTCACCCACAGCAGGCATAAATCTTCATGTATGATCAATAGTCAATGACATTCTTTAGCACAATTTATGAGTTCCACTAAAGTATGCAAACACTGGCACAGAGCTGGAGTAACATTTGTTGTATTGGTCATCATGCATCAAATGTTTTCTATTCCAGGTTGAGGCATGCTCAAGAGAACAGATAAGTTAAATCCTCGCGGTGGTGGCTCATCCTCTTTACTCAGAAATAGAGGCAACATTAGAGGCGCCAATTGGCTGTTGAAAGTCCTCTGTGTACGGTAATGATGGCACTACATTGCTAATTGCTTGTTCAAGTAAGCTCAAAACACACTGGAGAAACTGTCCAAGAGTGCTAAAAACAGGAAAGCAGCACCGATCACCAATCTGGGTCCATCTATGGAGGTTCATACCAGACGCACAATAAACTTGGAATCCTGATGTGAATATTAGATATGTGCTGGATTTGTGCAAAATCTTATATGGATATGGAACTCTGTGTTTATACAGAAGGCTAAGACCACTTTTATGCCACATCCAGACGTGATTGCCTTCAGCAAACATTTCTGAAAACTTCTGAAAACATTGTTTTCTTTCTGCATCCCCAGTTTGAGTTACTTTTAGCTGCTAGGACTTCAGTAACTACTGAGAACATTGCAAATTAAACACATAGTTATATGTTAACATATATAGGGAAATTAGCAACTGGTACCATCAAATGTTTATTTTATCTTATTTCATTAATTGCAGATTACAATAATTAAGTCTGCACTTTACTCCCCCAAAAGGTTTCAGTTGCAGTTTACTATGGCCAATTACTTAATTAATTTTTTTTCAAATTACTTGAAACTAGGATTAATTCTCTATATAACAAACATATGTACAGCCTTAACACATTATAAACTGACAAGATGAGGCCTGTATTTTCTTCAGTGAGAGAATACAGTGGCTGTGGAATAGGAGGGGGCGTTCGCTGCTGCCTACATAAAAGAGCACATATTTCCTTTTCTCCTACCACTGTCACTGACGTTTGACCATGTCAGATATTTTCCAGGATAATGATAACACCCTTGGAGGAGCTCATTCTTTATGATATATTGCCGAACTCAAAGGGGAGGGACAACAAAAAGCATTTACTTTATGAGAGGTTTATTTTTCAAAATGAATATTTACAACAATTTAACAACAAACTGCGTACTGTTTTACAGTCTTATTCAGTTTGACTAACCCTAGTAAACCCAACTTCCCCTTCAGGGAACCAGAAAGTACTGCAGTGGTTACAAGTGAGCCTGAATAAATGCACATTGTATGATCTCCCTGCATGGCAGGTCATTTAATTCACAGCACAAAACTCAATGGAAACTCTTCTTCATCCTTTCTCTTTTTCTTTTGTGCATCACACAGTAACAGAAAAGTAATAAACACACACAAACAGCAAAAACAATCAAACCACAAACACACAACCTCAATTGTTTCTAAAGATCGCTACACCTGAATATGAAACTTTAAAGGGTAAATATCAATGGTCAATATAAGCTTCTAGTGCAATAACGCAGACATTATTGGATTCACTGTGTTGAGAACAGCGTGAACGAGCATTTTAGTACATGTAAGCGCTTATAAGATGCCTTTGGGTTACATCCCCCCATAGTTTATCTATCATATCCATCAAAATGTGGAGCAGGTGTTTACTGAGACAGGCCCACATTTATGAATCATATTTTATGAGATTACTGGTCTCGTTCAACTACACCAATGTCAAATGGTTGCAAACATCTGTAACTGATCATAATTTCACTTCCATTAAGTGCACATTAGCTAGAGCATCACAGACAGAGAAGAGAGATGCAGTATAATTCATCATTTAGAAACAAACAAACAAACAAACGTGGTCTGAATGAATTTTTATATCAGCGTCTGAAATAGTGGCTCAACTCATAATTATTTTTTAACAATTAAACCAATAACTTTGCAGCCATTGGTGCAAAATGTGCCCTGTGTGTTTACTGGTTTCCAGAACGCAAAATTCTAAGGTGAATGTTATATACAGGACAGTGACATATAAAATGAAGGCTTCTTTAGGGATATTTTTGGCTCAGGGGCCGTCGTATGTCTCAGATACGAGCACACTTATCATTATTTATGTAAGCATGTCATCCTCCTGTCTAATGAGCCTTTCACCGTAAGCGTAATGAAACAGCTTGCATTAACACAGGCTAAATGAACAGCCAAGTGCTCCCATGTCTATGCAGCAAGATGAAAGCAGATGCTTCCACAACCCAAACACCAGCGTAACAGACCCGGGTTTCTACGGAGAAACAGAAGGGACTCTGAGTCAGTGTCATTCTTGTCAGCTCATTGACTCCGTTCGAAAATTTTAGATTCCCCTGGTCAAACATCATTATGTGAGAACAACGCCTAACCAAGCCATGACCAACTGACCATGAATGAACCCTCAAATTGATTTTTTTTCTCCTATAAACATGGCAATGATAAACACAGGCTAATAAACCTGGACTCAAAGTGAATGTCAACCGTCACACAAGAAGGGTGGTGTAAACAATTTACGCTCCTTTGAGAACCAGCTGCAATGCCTAGACAAGAGGTTTTTCAAAAAATACAGCCCTTACAGCACTATCATGTAAGATTATATGCAATTTAAGTAAATGATGTGCTCTTGGAATTGATGGGTGGAATGTGCAACATAATATATATAATAATAATAATATATATGTGATATGCAGTCCAAATGGGCTCTTATAAGAGAACACTTTCCCTCTGTTTTAATCTGTGAGTATGACTATGCATGTGTGTATGTATATGAGTGTGCATATGAGTGTATGGGGAACTAAAACTGAGGATTAACTGTGTACTGGATAATAAGCCAATTTCTCTTGGTCAGTGTCAAAACTGGCATCTAGAAATTACAAACATAACATTATTTAATGAGCATCACATGATTATTCTCTCACTGTGTGTTGTGTATTTATTTACTTTTTTACCAGCAGATACCAGCCTAAAGCACACAACAGCTCTGTCGAAAAAAACTTTGCCTTAAACTACACAGTGACAGTCCTCAGTGTGTGTGTTAGCGTGCCACAATGTGTGGTCAAATATTGTGTAACCCTATTGAAGGTCCTAACTTCAAGTAACTTTGTGACAGAACACGATACATGATCATTTGATACACGACAGACCTGTGGTACCATGCAATTCCCTTTAAGACCACAGTGAATCTTCAAGTGGGGTTCAGTATAACAATACACACTGTGATTCAGAAACAAAGTGGAAACTGTTCAGCTACTCCGTTCACACACAATATGCTCTGACAATAAGAAAACAAGAATATAGAACTCAATTCATTCAGTTAGTCTGTTAAAGGACCTATTTTTTTTACAATTTCAGTCAATCATATATGCATGAGGCTACTATCCACTTTCCAAAGCAGCCATTGTTTTCCATTCCTGTCATTATAGGCTAAATAAAAAAATCAACGTCCATAGACTTGAAAGTTGCTGGCGTGAGATCACATAATCCAATCCACAGTGAGAAAAAAAGGCTTTTATTTTCATCAGAAAAAAGGCAGTATGTAATATTGTATCTCTAAGCGCAGAGATCGAAAAGTTACAATACAGTTTGACAAACATGTAGGCGGAAATGATATTCGCTGTGGTTGATCTCAAGCAGGTTTTAAGTCTCTTGCAAATTGATTTTACCTCCCACAAATGAAAGAAGACCGAGGTGTGATGCGAATATAAACGCATTCATAAATATAACACACATTGGAGTTCTTTGAAAAATGTGTAGCCGAAAGTGTGCACGATTCTGTAACAGACTCGGCCAAAAACTACACACTGCCACTAGATAAGGCTGAAATAGTAACTCACCGGTACCAGTCCAGCCCCTTCTCGTAGTTCCTGTCAAAGAAATGTGGCTCATTTCCAACGGCTCTGACGTCCGGGTGCACCCTGAGAGCCTCCAGCAGGGCTCTGGTCCCCCCTTTCTTCACCCCGATGATGATGGCTTGAGGAAGTTTCTTCTCTCCGTAATCCATGGTGCAGTTCGCCCTGAGTTCGCTGTCCGTGGTGCTGATTTCCTGGTGCTCCCTCTCCAGCGCGGTGGTGTGATACGCCGCCGCCGATTTAGTGGGAGACGCCTGGGTCCTAATCCACTCCACCGTCCTTTGTTCGGCCTCAGCATGATCCTTCACGGTGGAGACCGCGGTGGTTCTCTCGGCCTCGGTGAATTCGGTCAAGCCCGGGGAGGCGGAATAAAGTTTCTCCCTCAATGTCACAAAAGTTGTCTCCTCTGTCACCAGCCTCCCTTGATACACGTAGTTCTCTTGCAGCGGGAACTGCAGCGAGTTGTAGCAGCTCATCAAGCTATAGAACAAGTAGGTGACAGAGAGGGAGAGGGTGAACATGAATAAGATTTTCCGGGGCACTTTAGAGGTGAAAACCGAAGTGCTGGACCAAAATGCCATCTCTGATAGCAGTGATCCTCTCAAAGAAGTGGCCAGACATGTTTCCACCCCGAGTCTTGCATGGACAAAAATCAACAGCAATAATCAGTCACTATCAGCGCTGCTCCAGCTAAAAAGCGTGAAGCTGGACCAAACCAACCCAATCCAACCAAATCGCATATTTATAAGGATGGCGGGGAAACAGATCGTTAAAATTCCGGAAGAATATCGCGTCCCTTTTCTTGAGTATCGATTTCTTATTCCAAGGCTGACAGACAATGTCACAATTTATTGGACTGAACTTGCAGATTTGGGAGGCTGGAGGTCTGGCGTCCTTCCAAATGAGCAGCCTGGCTTGAACTGGACACAATATGATGAACGAAATCCTAGCATTTTATAAAGAAAGGGGGGGTAAAAAGAAAATAAAAGAGAGAGTTGAAACAAGGCTTCTTCTCATCAGCCGCTCAGCCCGAAGTCTAGTCCGGTCTGCGATACAAGAGTGGATTCACATCCATCCAGGCAACCTACAAATCCACCGAGTCTTTCCAACAAGAGGCGACCGGGCGCACAATCCTTTACGCTTCTCTCCCTTATTTACTTTGTGTAGTAGAAAGTCGGGCAGCCTTTGCACAAAAGCAGCCACTCTTCCCAGTGGCTACTGGGGCTGCTGCTTGCCGTCCTTGTGCCCTCTCAGATTGGTTGGATCCTACGATGTGCGCATCGGCTGGGTGAGCTCATCTGAAGTGAAGTACACAGAGCACAACTAGTGTGTACACCCACTTTTTCCTCTACCCGTGCACAAGTAGGGCTCTAAACGTCAGATGTCCTTATCTGAAACATTCGTGTGGAAAGCTGCTTCTCCTCATTCATGCGGCCCCTTACAGAGAAATTAATTAAAGAGCCGGAATATGTGAGAGCGTATTACACTGTAAATTGTTTCATACTGTATAAAGTTCTCTAATAAAACTCCATCTCAGAAAGATTATTTTGATAGAGATTACATTTTACTGAAAGCTCATGTCTGCACCCTGCTGGTTTTCGGTGGAGCATTGCATAAGTTCATTTACAAAAAGAGAAAGAAAAAGAAGTTTATCCTGATAAATATAAAAGCAGGTTATATGAATCAAAGTGGATAATGAGCAACACTATGTTCTGAATTAAAATGATGAGTCACTGGGGGTGTAATTCCCTACATATTTCTAAATGCAAGAGAGCACATGCAGAAAACAATCCTGTGTTCTGCATTATGCTGAGGAAGGGGATGCTGCTTAGGCGTATTATACACTGAATTTATTATACACGGGTGCAGACTATAATTACTGATGAGAATATTCACTAGACCTTAACTTGTACACTTTGTTGCTGCAATATGAGGATTTAAAATTGCGTGCCACTGAAATGTCTCCCTGTATTACAGAATCTCATTCATCACACACCTCCAACACACCAGGAGAGCCAGCATCACACTAAGTACTGGGTCACAAATAATTTGCAATGCCTTGCTTTCAGAACAGCAAGCCACTGTTATATATAAAGTTCTGTGTTTGATATATATTTATATTTATATGTTGCTTGACCAAATTTATTCTCCTTAACTGTCTGTAGCCGGCACGGGATGAAAACCAGGGGTGACACAAAGTCATTTTATTATAGAGAGCTGCAGCCTTACTAAAGGACAACAATATAGCAAGGGAGCTCTTTTGCATTCAGCCAGTGCATTTCCACCGAATCAGAAAATGAGAGCTACTAGAACGGGAAAATGTATCTTCACATTGCTCACACTTTCCCAACACAGAGTCAAGACTTTTGAACCCAATAGAAATATAGTGCAGGCAATCAATAATTTTATAATAACAAAATTACAATGTTAAAACAATTTGAAAGGGGTCACTTATAGTGATGAACCGACAGAAAATTATCATCCGAATCAGGCAGCTACCCTCAGCCTAATGCAGCTTTATATTGAGTTTCAGCTCATTGTTTAGCTGTCCGGTCCACAACTTTACTGCTTTGGTTCAGACTCACTGCTTGTATAGTTGTTTTCAGCCAACTGTTTTCATCAAGAAAGCTCTAAAAAACCCACTGGACACTACCTGCTCAGCACCAAATGACAAACAGACACAGTTATCAACAAGCTGGTGAACACAGTGGAGCATTTAGGAGCTAAACTGCCAGAAATTTCCCTGACGAGTTGGTAGAGACCAATAAAGAGAGTAAATATCAAATGTAAGGGACCAGTGTGTAGGATTTAGTGGCATCTAGCGGTTCAGTTGCAGATTGCAACCAGCTGAATACTGCTCATCTTCCAAGCATCTAAACTATGGTGGCAGGAACACTTGCAAAAAATGCAAAAGGTCCTATCTAGAGCCAGTGTTTGGTTTGTCCATTCTGGGCTAAGATAAAAACGGCTCATATTAAGGTAATGAATTATTTTTGGGTGATTACACCCAAATGAAAATGCAACTATGAATATTAAATTCCATTACTTCCAATAGATCCTCCTAAATGTTACACACTGGACTGGAAATCACATATGCAGGTTTTTCTTCTTAACTGACTGAGATGCAAATGTCTAATAAACAGTATGTTTGCCATGTACTGTATATATTCCTCTGTGAAATACTTTTGCATGATTCTTCTTCTGATTTTAGTTCCATTTTTATGTCCCAACCAATATGACAAATTAAGTTATTTACAAACTAGGCCTGTACATAAGCAATGCAGGTGATTGGATGAGGGGGAGGAAAGCGTGAACAAGTGCTTGGAGCACAATGGTTCCTGGGTGTTTGGCAGTCAAGAGAGCGTAGGAGAACTCAATGGGTTTGTTGAAATTGTTGTATTCGTAAATTGCCACTCGGAGAAGCAGAGAGCTCTCTAACACGAACTGCCCCGTTTGTAAATTCTCGCTGTTATCAGACTTTCTACCTGTCTGAGAGTCACCCTGTCAGAGATTTCTGAGCATGCTCAGAAATTCTTGCTGTGAAGCAGTTGCAGCAGAACATTTTACTGTTAATACCAACACAAGTGAAGTGGTATTAAAGATGGCTGCCGCCACTCAATGCTGATGATAAATTATTATCAGAGGACAAGAGAAAATATATTGACCCGTTTTATCTTCCCTTTGTTGTGTCTGTTATCTGAGCCATTCATGAATCGTTCAGACATTGTCTGTCCCTGTGGAAGCTTAGTGCTCACATTGTCTTTATTTGCATTTACAAACAAGCAGTCACTTCAGAAAAATTGAGTTTATTGAAGTTAAAGTCCAGGCAACTGCTTTGTTAAAATGTGAATTTACTGGTTGTGTCACAAGGCCAATATCAAATGAGCCTTTTCTACCTTACCTACTGGCAACAGGTTAAGTTTAAGGTTTCAAAACAACACTGTTTGCCACTCCAAGTCAACTAACAGTAATTTAGTCACTCCAGGTCAAAATGATTCATCTCCTTGTTTCATGTAAATATGGCACAAGCTAACCGCTCTCGTCTCAGTCTACTAGCACACATTCACAATGTGACTGTGAGCCGCATAAAGCATCGTGGTCCTCTTTGCAGCTCACATTAACATTCACCTCATGTCTAGATTGTATTCAGATATGAATTATCCATATTGCATTTATACCTGGAATTAAAAATGTGTCTCAGCTATCCAATGTGTCTGCACTTCTATTGCAATTATGATTTTCAATCCTCACAATATCCACTCACAGTTAATGTAGAATTATTCATCTAATTCGTTATAAATATCATCTCACCAGTTTTAGAGGAGGCTGCAGCACTGAGTCTACTTTATTCTATTGCATGTCTTTTATGCTTTTTCTTTATCCTTGTTTGAATACTATACAGAGAAGACACATTTATTTCACAGCATTCATTCGAACTACAGCTGAATATTAAAACAACATATTCTTAATATCAGTATATAGGGGTATCTGCATAACTAGTGCTGTATATCATCAGGTACAGATATGGATACATTTTTGTTTTTAGCTTTTAAAATCGCAACCAAACAGCTCTACCTACACCAGTAATTGATGGTCAGTGCATTGTGCTCTGTGGTGCTTGTGCTGTGGATGCAGCCTGGACCGCCTGGAGGCAGTTAGCACAGACAAGGTTAAGGACTAAACTACATCTTATACAACACTTGTCATCGCTTCTATGGTGAATCAAGCCAGAGACAGAGCTCCTACAGTGTCTGATTCATCATCAAAGGTGCAACACAAATGACTCTAGAGACTGTTCTATGCTAAAAATCCAAAATACAAATGTAATAATTCCAGTCCAAATTTCTAAGATGCACCACACAAGAAGTTCCTGTGCTGTTAATACAGAGTACATCAGGCCTCTGGCACTTTCTCAATATAGCTACAGCTTAGGAGCTGCTGCACCACCTTAAGATTTGGGTCTTCTAATATGAAATGACCTGATTCTGAACTCTGCCACAGTCTGAGCCTGTCTGGTGGAGCTGAGATGAACGGCCATTGTGGGGAGGTTTTGGCAGGTAGCTACAGCCATGCAGACTGTCACAGTGCTCAGTGTAATTTAAGTCAGAGTATTACCACACCCTATTGTTCCACTGGGCCTGACAGCAGAGATGGTTTATTGGGCTGCAATTAGACAGAAGATGACAGAATGGTTACAAGTGACCATCTCTCCATCAGTTGAATCGACCCAAACAATGACAAAAGGGAGTGTACTAAATAGCAAAGGAAGAAGTTTCTCATAGGCCCCAAATGCAGTAAAATCTACACACTAAGTAACTGTAAATCAATATTTATATGATCGGCTCATTTATTGCAACCAGTGAGTCATGAAGTCACAATAAAGTAACCTAGACATGTTACATTCTCATGAAGAAATATATAAAGTTAAAACCAATTTAGATAGAGTACGTGAACTTACGCCAAACTGTGTAGTGCTGGTCCAGGTTCAGTAGAGTCTACAGTTTTGTTGTCTGTATTTAATGAAGATAACAAAATTCATGAGGAAAGTGCCTTCGAGTGGTACATGAAGGCATTCTCCTCATGAATTTCTTTGAAGAATTTCTGTGCA